GAAAACCTGGAGGAAATGGGTAAATTTCTGGACACATACAAACTAACAAGTCTGAACCAAGAAGAAATGGAAAACTTGAACAGACCAATAACAAGCAATGAGAGTGAAGCAGTAATCAGCAGTCTCCCAACAAAGAAAAGCCCAGGACTGGATAGTTTTACTGCTGAGTTCTACCAAACCTTTAAAGAGGAATTAATACCAATTCTCTTCAAACTATTCCAAAAAACTGAAACAGAGACCATTTTCTCAAACTCATTCTACGAGGGTGGCATCACCCTGAGACCCAAAGCAGACAAAAAAAGAAAATATAAGCCACTATCATTAATGAATATATACACAAATCCTCAACAAAATATTAGCAAACAGAATACAGCAACACATCAAAAAAGGTATACACCACGATCAAATGGGATTCATCCCAGGGATGCAAGGATAGTCCAACATAGGCAAGTCAGTAAATGTGAAACACCACATCAACAAAATCAAGGATAAAAACCATGTGATTATCTCAGTAGATGCAGAAAAAGCATTTGACAAAATTCAACATTCCTTCAAGACTCTAAGCAAATTAGACATAGAAGGAAAATATTTCAACAGAGTAAAAGTCACATATGACAAACCCACCACCAAAATCATCCCGGATGGGGGAAAGCTGAGAGCTTTTCCCTTAAGAACAGAAACAAGACAAGGATGCGCACTCTCACCACTCCTACTTAATATAGTATTGAAAGTACTAGCTGGAACAATCAGGCAAGAGAAAGAAATAGAGGGCATCCAGATTGGAAAAGACAAAGTCAAACTGTCCCTGTTTGCAGATGACATGTTCCTATATATAGAAAACCTAAACACTCTGCCAAAAAATCCTTAGAACTGATAAACTATTTCAGTAAACTTGCAGGATACAAAATCAAAACACAAAATTAGTAGTTTTTTTTACTCCAACAATGAACTAGCAGAAAAAAATCAAGAAAGCAAGCCCATTTATAATAGTCACCAAAAAAAAAAAAAAAAAAAAAAAGTATCTAGGAATCAATTGAACCAAGGAGGTGAAAGATCTCTACAATGAGAACTAAAAGTCACTGCTGAAAGAAATGAAAGAGGACACAAGAAGATGGAAAGATGTTCCATGCTCTTGGATTGGAAGAATTAACATTGTGAAAATGTCCATACTACCCAAAGTGATCTACAGATTCTACTCAATCCCCATCAAAAATACCAATGACATTCTTCACAGAAATAGAAAAAACAACCCTAACATTCATATGGAACAGCAAAAGACCCCGAATAGCCAAGGCAATCATGAGCAAAAGAAAAAAATAGCTGGAGGCATAACACTACCTGACCTCACATTATACCACCAAGCTATAGGAACCAAGACAGCATGGTACTGGCACAGAAACAGACGCTCAGACCAATTGAACAGAATAGAGAACCCAGAAACCAAACCAAAATCTTACAGTTAAGTGATCTTCAACAAAGGCACCAAGAACATAAATTAGGGAAAAAGTCAGCCTCTTCAGTAAATGGTGCTGGGAAAACTGGACATCCATATGTAGAAGAATGAAACTACCATACCTCTTGCTATATACCAAAATCAACTCAAAATGGATTAAAGGCTTAAATATAAGACCTGAAATGATAAAACTCCTAACACGTAGGGCAAACACTTCAGGAAGTAGGGCTGGGCAAAGACTTTATGAATAAGACCCCCAAAGTGCAAGCAACAAAAGTAAAAAAAACCAAATGGGATTATATTAAACTAAAAAGCTTCGGCACAGCAAAATAAACAATTAGCAGAGTGAGAAGACAACCTACTGAGTAGGAGAAAATATTTTCAAACTATGCATCCAACAAAGGATTAATATCCAGAATACACAAGGAATACAAACAACTTAATGGTAAAAAACCAAATATCCTTATTAAAAAATGGGCAGAGTGAAGAGTTGAACTTCACTAATTGGACTTTCACATCATTGGGTATGAAGCTTGTGATGCACTGATTGGCCCTGAGGATCTCCAGCATGGATGCTACCCATGGAAATGAATAGCAAGGGGATTAAGAAAACAACACCACATCTAATGAACTTAAAATCTAGCAAAGTGGAAGAGTTAGCTGAAAATGTCCCAAGTCAAGATAGAGTCATAATGGTCATCTTTATTATTATGTTATGTGAAATAAGCCAGGCATAGAAAGAGAAATATCACATGTTTTCACTCATATGTGGAAGCTAAGAGAACAAAACAAAGAAAAAACCCCCACAAATAAATAATAATAATAATAATATTAATTTGAAATGTTAAAAGGAGAGAGGAACTGTGGTTATGGGGGCAGGAAAGAGGAAGGAAAGGGGAGATATTGAGAGGCTGGTTAATGCACACAAAATTACAGTTAGATAGGAAAAATAGGTCCTATTGGTGTACAGTTGACCTAAGAATCTATAATTAATAATGACTTACTACATGTTTCCAAATGACTACAAGAGAGATCAAATGTGCATATAACAAAGAAATAATTAAGTTTTACAATAATGAATATGCTAATTACCCTGAACAGATCAGCACACGCTGTATACACATATTGACATAGAACTCTGTACCCCATATATGTGTACAATCAATATGTTTCAATAAAAAATTAACATTAAAATTAAAAAATTAGCATTTCTAATACTGTTGCATTAGCATGAAAATAGAGGGTGACCTTGTCTAGTTTTTGTTTTAATACAACCCAGTAATTATGGTGTCTATTATGTAAAAAATTTTCCATTAGTTTCATAGTCTTAATTAAAAAATTAAAATTTGTATGTTAACAAATGCCAAGTCAACATCTAATGAGATGAAAAATTTTTTAAATTTACTTTATTACTATAATGCATTCTGTTTATTATTTCACTGGTGTTGTGACAAATTCTCACTCCTGGTGTTAAATCCTATTTTGTATAGTTGTTTAATATGTTATATTCATTTGTTCAGATTTTGTTTAGAAAGGAAATAAAAACTCTACCTTCCCTGCCATTGAATATGTGCATCTATATGTGCAAAGGTCACCATCTTTGACAAATATCCTGAATAGTCCTTTCTTGTAGGAAGTGCTTTGTGCTAGGTGCCATTTCACAGGCTGGGGGGATAACTATGTTGGAATGGTAGACAGTGAGACCTTCTAGATCACAGGATATTAGGAATGAAAGGAGCCTTCAGCATTTTCTAGTTATGTCTACTTATTTTACAGGAGAGGAAACTGAGGCCCACAAAGAATAGCGTAGACAAAGTCAGAATGAGTTTATGACTTTAGAATCCAGACCTTCTCCTAATGTATACTTAGTTATGTGTTGTTTAACAACAGGGATACATTCTGAGAAATGTGTTGTCAATTTCATCATTGTGTGAGCATCGACGTAGACAAAGTCAGAATGAGTTTATGACTTTAGAATCCAGACCTTCTCCTAATGTATACTTAGTTATGTGTCGTTTAACAACAGGGATACATTCTGAGAAATGTGTTGTCAATTTCATCATTGTGTGAGCATCGTAGAGTATACTCACACAAATCTAGATGGTATCGCCTAGTACACAGCGAGGCTACCCAGTATAGCCTATTGCTCTACCATCACGTATGTGGCCTATTGTTGACTGAAACTTTGTTATGCAGCTTGTGACTGTATCATGTACATATGAAATTCTATCACTACATTCTACAGCCCAGGAAGAACCAAGAGGGCAAATGTCTTTTACATCACATTTATTTCGTCAGTTGTTTTTTTGCTGGTTTCTTAGCTTGGCAGTTGGTATGTGTTTGGGTCTCACTTGATTTCCAAGTTTCCAGTTGCAGCCATAGACCCTGGAATTTCCTCCCTCTTCTGGGTTCAGTGATGATGTCTGCCTAATATCTTCTCTTTCAGGCATTTGAAGCTGTGCCCTACATGTTACAGTCACATGGGTGGGAATAAAAGAAATTTAATCTCCTCCCTGCTAGGCAGGCGGCGTTGTAAAAGCAGTCCTTGTGGTGATGCTTCTACCCCAAGACATGCAACATGAACTGAGCAAGGCGATCCATTAGTTTTAGACCATATTCTACGCACTGTACACTTCAGGATCTTTGCTGTCCTGCACGTGCTATGTTGTATTGAAGAGAAAGGAAGCTTCCTGCCTTAATATCTGAACCAAAACTGCATTTTGAGTGATGACAGAGGTTTTGTGAGTGTATGTGTTCTTTCAGAAAGATGTACTCTTTTTGCCAAAATATTGAATATTTTGTGTATTTTGAGGATTTATAGGGGAAACAGGGTAAAATATTTGAAAGGGTTTTTTTTTTTAGAAAAAAAAGTCACTCACTGTACTTAGACACAGGCAGGTGAAACCAATTTTCTCCATCACCTGTAACTCAGACTCTCCCTTAAAAAGAATTCTCAATGAGCCCTAGAGAGGTAGAGGGTGTGGCCACTCTTTTTCTCCACGTGGGATTAGGTGTCAGATGAGCCTAAAGAGCAAGAGAGTTAAAAGGGTTATGGAAATGACCTGCTACTTAAGCAGTGCTTTTGGGGGCATCACACTCAAGTACTTTATTGAAGAAAACTCTGACAAAGGAGCCTATTATGGATGTATTGTATTTGACTCTTGATACTGAATTAAGCCCTAAAAGTGATGTAAGTTTCCAGAGCACTTTCCAGAAGGGAATTACAGGCCTCACAAGTATTAGTGTGTTTTTAAGCTTTCCACCTCTCTCTCTCTTTCTCTCACAATTGTTTCTCCCTGATTTCTGAACAAGCCTCCCTGTACAGAACTATCCACATCTGATGCATGCTGTTTGGCTCTTTGTCTTGATCACAGAGACCAAAAGAACCTGGCCTAGCCCTGCTCTCTCACCCCACTGTCCCTTGCACTGGACCACACCTACTTGGTGGGGCACTGCTCGGCCACATTGGGATGAGGACCTGAGAGGACCTGACTATGGTGGGGTGGGCAGGGTAAAGCTCGGGGGAAAGGCTGCCTGTGTGAAACACCTGGTAGAAGCAGAGGAGGTTTTCCTCTTTGAATGTAGAGTTAGGGTCCAGAAGAGCACGGCGATTGACCAGAGAGATGTGTTCTAAGGTTGTGGGCACGGGCTCCTGACGGCTGCTCTCCATTGCTGAAGTGTGATCTTCTCAAATTTGGAGTCCTCCAGGAATCTGGAGTCCTGATGTCTCTGTACCAAATAAGAGGAGGTTGTGCATGTATAAGGGAAAGAGATCTTACCCTCTGGGCTCCCTCCCTGGCCTCCACTGTCCTTAGGGATTTTGTTATCACACTCCATCAAGAATGAGCATCACTGGCTCTGGGAGTGGCAATTCCCCGATTATTGTGTGGCCCATAAGAAAAAGTCCTTGCTGTGCATCAGGAGATGAAGTGTGTCATAACCTATCAGAGCCTATGTTTTCATCAGGAAAATTCCTCCTGCTTGCCTTGTCTTTCTTGACTACCCAGTCCTCTGTTTCTCAGTTGCCACTATGGGAAAGTCATTCTTACATCTAAATTAAATCTCTGTTGTGGTAGCTGGAGATTTTTTCTCCTCATCTTGTTCTTATGGAAAAGGAATTGACATCTCCCAATGTTAGAGCACTGGACTTTCAAAATTTTAATTTTATTCATAACCTTCTAAGCCCCTGATTATTTACTCCTTCCTCATGACTTTCCTTTCCTTTCCATCATTCTTTCTATGTTCCCTTATTCCTTCAACTGAATGAGGAAAAATTTCCAAAATCTATTATCTTGAGGTCCAGGACTGACCCTGAGATTTCAGGGATTTCTGATCAGGCTGAAAACAGAGGAGAAAGCCCTGGCTCTGTTGCTCACCATCAGTTGAGAGTGATGGTGGGGCCGCCTCTTGCCCCCTTAGAGGAGATGTGTATTGGAAGAATAGGCTTCTGAAAGCTCAAGGCTCAGAGCTACCTATATTCCTGGCCATGATGACCATATCCAGGTGGACGCCATCTCCCTTGGGGACTGTCAGAATAGGGCCACTTACCCATTCCTGGGTGCAGATGACGTGGGTGTCATGGAGCATTTGCTCATCCCTGAGGTGGATAGAGGAAGGAGTCATTCTGTTACGGGGGTCTGGAAATGTCTCCCCAATTGCCAAGCTCATATCCCTAGTTTGGAGTATAGCCAGTCAAAGTGGAAGGGACCAGACTTGTGGGGATACTGAGGACCTACAGGCCTGTCAGAGAAATGGTTGCAGAATGTGGCACCAGACATCTGGCTATCTATAAAGCATAGTGGATCATGGTCACCGGAGCTCTGTTTGACCAGTGCTGGGCATTTAAGAATCAGCCAAATGCCTCTCTTCCTGGTTTCTCATTTCTTATCTCCCCTTTTGGTATGGAAAATGGATACAATAAGCCTTGCAGTCTCTTCGTCTCACCCTGAATTTCACCTTCCCCCACCTTTCAAGAAGTGAAAAAGCAACAGCAGCAGTTAGATCCTAAATCCACATTTTTACAGCCTGGGTCATCGGGCGGGTGCTCTCAGGGCCCTGCAGCAACCTCTTTGGAAATAAGTCCTGGCACGCAAGCATCCTACAAATAGAGGTAGGCTTGACCCTTTTGATCTTTTGACCCTTAGGGATCAACATCCAAGAAAAGGTTTCTCTGTATCTCACAGTGGATTCTTCTAGGCCACATTTCTTTATTCTGGAGTAGAGGTGATTGACCAGGCTTGAAGAAAGAACAGAGGGGGTCTTCTCTGGACTCTCTGTTTTAAAAGATACCCAAGAAGATTTGGATTCTTATGAACTCTGTTATGTGGAGAAGCTAGAAAAGCCCAAAGTGGTTCCAATAGCCAGAAAGACCCCAAGAGTAGTCACAATCTCCTTTAGATTTCCCTTCCCCCCTGCTTCCTGTACCCACAGCTAAAGTCTCCTCAACCCTTCCATGGGGTTTGAAAGTCCCTGAATTAAATCTTATTTTATCCTGACATTAGAGGATCTCTCTTTGGGCTCAGTTATAAACATATATCTGTGATAATCAAAGTGTGATCTATGACCCAGCAGCTTTGGTGTCATATGGAAGCCTATTAGAAATACAGAATCTCAGAATTTCAAGTCCACCCTAGACCTACTGAATAAGAATTTGATATGCTTTTAAACAAGGGACCCAGGTGATTTGTATACATAAAAAAAGTTTGAAAAGCTCTGATTTATATATATTTTTTCTTGGATGAGTGGAGGAAGGAGCTCCAAATATAGCTTTTATGTTATAATTCTAGACTCCTGGGTATATTGAGTATTTTCTAGAATTTACATCTGGGCATTTGATAACTATAACTTGATGACCTTGAATAATCATTCTTCTGTGACCTCCCTGCTTTTCCATCCCTATGCCAGTCCTGCTAAGCCTTTATAGCAGAGCTGGGAAGCTGCTTCTGTCTGTGCTTGGCATTTCTCCTCGACAGAAAAGAATCATGTCTGACTGAGGGCTGAGAGTGTCCTCAAGCCCACAGCAGCCAATTTAAGGGAGAAATGGATCCTGCTATTCCTGTCCAGGTGCTGTAAACTAAATAAATGCTTGTGTTTCCTGACCATTCATATATTGAAACCTAATTTGCGATGTGATGGTATTTGGAAGTGGGGTCTTTGGGTGGTGCAGGTCATGAGGGCAGAACCCTCATGAAGGAGATTAATGCCCTTATAAAAGAGAACCCAGAGAGATCCCTTGCCCCTTCTGCCATGTGAGGACACAGTGAAAAGACTACTGTCCATGAACCAGGAAGTGGGCCCTCATCAGATAACAAACCTGCCTGTGCCTTGGACTTCCCAACCTCCAGAACTGTGAGAAATAAATTTCTGATGTTTTTAAGCCCCCCAATCTATGGTATTTGGTTATAGAGCCCAAATGGACTAAGATACCAGGTAACTGGACTGGATAGAGGAGAGAGAACCAGTGCTCATGGAGACTTTAAGGAAAGTCAGTGCCCAGCTTGGTTGAAGATGGAAAGGAAAAGAAGACCTGGACTCCAGCTTCAAGGCAAATGAAATATCCTAAGATGAAACTTTGGGATGAATTCCTCCTTATTCCTTCCCAAATTCCCTCCCTTGTTTCCTTATTCAAACCTTGGATTATTGCTCTTTTACCTCGAATCCGAGCATCTTCCTGCAGCTGAAAAATAATGAGAATTTGGAGAGTCAGAGACTCAGGGGCTGGTTTCTGGACCGTTAGTGACCAGCTATAGGCTTTAGTAAATGTAGGGATGTCGATTTGGGAAATATGGGCTTTTGAGGAATGGAATGAAATTCTGTTTTCTGAATGCAGAATTTGTATTATCTTTGTGTCTCTCACACAAAACCTTTTAAGATAATCCCCTGCATACAGCATATGTTCAATAAATGTTTGTTGAATAATGGATGAATAAATAGGAGCAAGCTGTGGCCTCTTTAGGGTTGGAAGGCACACAATTTGTTACTCACAGTCATGACAACTCATACAATGGCCTCACCTCTTTTATTCTTTCTTGTCTCTCTGAAGTCCCTTTTCTGGTCTCTTTGACCCATCTCACTGAGTCTCCGTGGTTCCCTATAATGCACCTTTAAGTACTTGTGAAAGACCTTTTATAAAATCCTTCTTGAGTAAGGATTTTTTACTCACTTAAGAGTAAAAAGCTGTTGATGATACACTTGGGCCCATTTAGCTCATATGAGTTAACTAAATTATTTTTTCTGTATAAGAATGCTCCAGTGCTGGGTCCTATATCTGCCTAATCAGAAAGAAAGCACGTTCTAATTTTGTTTCTCTCTGCTATCTTATGCTTGACTTATCAATTCTTACCTCAGTATTTAAGTACAAAAATTTCCCTTATACATCGTGACTAGAGAGTCTGTTTTGTCTGCACCAGCCTTGGGGATCTATGAGGGCAGGGATGGTGTCTGATGGATTTCATGAAGAAGCACCGGAAGAGAGTTTCAGCACAGGGATGTAAGATGGACTGTTAACTTCAATACAAGCCCCGAGAGGATGGAAGTCAACACACACAAGTCCAACTTATACACAAGCCTACTCCTCCCACTAGCTGAAGTCCTTCCAGAAGGAGACTGTGGCCTCCAGATGGACTGTTAACTTCAATACAAGCCCCGAGAGGATGGAAGTCAACACACACAAGTCCCACTTATACACAAGCCTACTCCTCCCACTAGCTGAAGTCCTTCCAGAAGGAGACTGTGGCCTCAGGGGACTAAAGTTCTGGGTAGGGTGGAGGCACCCTGAACCCAGGGGCAAAACTTGGATGAAAATATCAAACTTCTGATCTCCATCTAGTGCCCCCTTTTACCTACAACCAGGTGGAGGCAAAGGCTGTTATAATTTTCATTAGAGTAAGTCACAGACATGGCAACAGAATACAATGGCATCTCTCTTCTTGGACCATAGGAAAGGGCTCAGTTTTAAGGTCAAAAGTGATCTGATAGTGAAACAGAGGAAGTTTATTTTCTGTGCCTTCTGAATCCCTTTGCCTGTCATTCCTCCTCAGCTAGGAAGAGGGAGCTACTGTTTCTAAGACCACAGGGGCTCATATTACATTTGTTTCTAATTTTAATAAAATTATATCTTTATTCAGAGGAACAAAAGTTAAGAAATCCATACAGAAGTTTCCTGTTTGCCTTGGCTTTGTAGTATTTTTACCTGTCCTAAGTTTGTGTTTTTCTGTTTATAGCCTGTGTAAACAGTCTCTAGATAAGTAATTGTGTAGATAGTGTCTGTTGCTCTCTACTCTGAGAGACAAAAACAAGATGTGACAGTGAGATATATCAGCACCTTGAACAAGCTAATATAATAACTCAGTGTCTGGGGCAGGCCAACAATATAGTGCATACTTGACTATGTTGCTTAAATATTTGATCAGTGTTTAGAAAAGAGACTGAAATCTGTATAGAGGAAGAGCAGGAAGAGGATTGTTTCTATTTACTCAAGAAGTTTAGCCCCGGCCTCTTAACTTGCACACCCCTGCAATTAATGCGCATACTCAAGTAAGAAGGCTGTTTACCACGTCACCTGGGGATTCTCCCTAATTCAGTCACTTATCAGCATTTCATATAACCACAAAAGATATTCTTGTTGAGAGAGGTTCTGGTAAATACAATTTTCTCTCTATATTATCACATTTCCTCAAAAGAATTGTTAGGCATCTTCTTGCCTTAGATGTCTGGACTGACAAGTCAGTGCTACTTTTTGAAAGGGAGAAACCATTAGGTAAATAAAGCTAAGACTGTGGTCAGAATGAACAGCTCAGCAGGGTATGGGAAATTGGGATCAAGGGCAGGTGAGGAGGTCAGGGAATTCACAGAATCAAAATTTAATCTCACCTCCTTTTGTATGTCCTTAAAAGCTGTCAGCACCTGACAGGAGGTGAAAATATAGAAAAATTAATATTACAGACTATCACTTTATTACAAAAGAATTTTATATATAGAATTAAGTTGCCTAATTTCCCAGCCTTTAGGCTGTAGTGTGTGAATACCAAGAGACTGTGGCTTTCTAACTCCAGCAATAAATCTCCATTGATTTCCATTGTGCATATGTCTCTGGGCCATTGTTTCTGCACATGATAAATAGGTGAAGTACAGTGAGGTATTTAAAGAGGAGAGGGCTGTGAATGGAATGTATAATGAAACCCACTGTTATATTTTATTTCTCTTTGACTGGTCCTTGTTCTGAAGTTAGGCATAGTTATTAAAATCAACACATATTTGTATTTAGGTTATCATACATTGGAGAACACCACCAAATATTGGTGAAGATATAGAACAGCTGGAACTCTTGTATATTATTGGAGGGAGAGTAAAATCTTACAATCACTGGAAAAAGTTCTGGCAGTTTCTTACACGACTAAATAAATACCTACTTTACTGCCCAGCCATGGATGTAAAGTGTGAGAACTTTAAGACAGATAGCTCTATCTTGTTTGGTGAAAAATATAGTTTCTCTAGATAGTGAAGAATTTCAATTTGTTTATCAGGGTGCTTATGGAAAATGAACAGTCCAAGGGATAAACTGTGCCAGTTATCAACTTTCTGCCTCTCAGAAACACTTTGTTCACCCTTTGTTATATCATATTCATCTTTTTTTTATAATCCTCAACTATTTACTGGTTCCCAACAGGATGGTCTTCTGACATTTACACAAGCAGCTTATTCTTTAGCTAGTACAAAAATTGTAAGAACATGAAAGTTATGCTAATATATAGCATTGTAATTAAGAAGATTGTTTCCTTCTCTAAAACTTATAGAGTCATTGAAAATCACAGAGAAGAAGAAAAGTGGGCCACATTATTCATTTAATAAAACATTGTTCACTGGGAAATGGCAGGAGAGGCTCTAGAGAATTTTACTTATTTTTAATCAAAAAGCCATGGCCATTGATTTAATAAACAGACTTTTCCTGCCTGGTTCTGTATAGGAAACTGATCCTATAAGTTCAAAAGTGATTAATTTTCCTTTAATTCTCATCTCTATTCAAGAGTTTAAATGTACCTGCAACTAGAATGTCAAGACTGGGATGCTGAAGTAGCTGATATCTATGGGGAAGGTTCTTAGAAACTCCAGATAAATATCTGTGCTCTATGAAGGTACCACATGGTTTGCTCTGGCTATCTTATGGGCATAACCAGCTTCTGCACATATATACCATTCAAATGTAAAGTGAAACCTGACATTTTTATGTTTGAGAATTTGTCGCCTTGATTATCATTTTCAGATAGCTGGGAAACTAAGGACATTTTGTCAAAGTGAACAAGATACCAGCAGCTTTAGAATTAGAAGAAGCTATTCACAAATGTAAGCGCTTTTAAGTCTGTTTTAAAGCAATTTTAATAACATAGATTCTGACACTTATTGAAAGCAACAGATTCTTACTGAGGACCTAACGAGTCTATTTCTCATTTTCAACTCATAGTTTTCAGATCTGAAAATACTTTTGATAGGATTCAGTAATTTCATTCATTATAGAACATCTAATTAAACTATTCACAAAGGAAGTCTTTTTTTGACTGGGTCTCTTTAAACCAATTTAGAGTAAAAAATTCAATCTAATTCCTAAGATATAGCTCCCTTGAAGTGGAATCAAAATATGGTCATTTTCCTAACCACAGAAAGGACAATTCTTCATATCCAAAATACCGACTCATATTCTTTTGCTTTTTTCTCATACTTTAGAACTCTCCAACAAATAGCAGGTCTGAGACTCTCAAATCTAATAAACTAAAAAGCAGGAAAGCTCCAGGCATATTTTTTACAGTTAGCCATTATTCTTGTTCAAAAAATTGTCAATAGATTTGGGAATATGTAGGACATTTTGAAGTATTTAAACCACCACAGGTAGAAATACCCTAGTAACACATCGATTTCCCATTATAAATCATGCAAAGCAGAATGGTGTTCCAGCTACTGAAATTATATTGGATGATTAAATCCAATTTTTATGTCCTCTAATGTCTTGATGTAGACCTTCCAGCCATAGCCAATGGAAAGAAAACAATTACACTCTGTGCTAATGACAGGATCCCAATCATGCTCTGAGCAAGACAGCCAGAAGCAATAGGGCCAGGTGGCATGTCACTCTCAGAATATACCTTGCTGGCAACTATACAAAAAACTAATCATTTTTATGGACTCAACTAGGCATTTAAGTGGATAAAAATAAACACCTCCCCTCTTCAGATTGATATTTTTCATTTTTGAGAGGTTTATTTCGAGGCTTACTCATTCTTTTTTTCCCCCTTTTTTTTGTCTTTTTTCGTGTCCGGCAATGGATCGCAACCCTCAGTGTCGCGCCTGTACCGGACCGGGACCGGCCACGGGATCGCAACCCTCAGTGTCGCACCCGCACCTCGCTCAGCCAGTGAGCGGGAACCGGTCTTTATGTGGGATCCGAACCCTCAGCGGGAGCGCCGCCACGCTCCCAAGCGGCACACTGTAGCAGTGTGCCACCGGGCCGGCCCAAGGCTTACTCATTCTTGAGGGCCTAAATCTTTCAGTAAATTATGTTTTAAGATGCAGGAGCCAAGGACCACAGTCAGTAATAATAAAGCTATGCCAATTTATATTTTAAAATTTCAATAAAACTGAACCATATGGATGTCTTTATCAAGATTTCAGAGTGGTTACTTACTAAAACCACCCCCTCTCTTCACACAGAAGTCATAAGAAATAAAATATACAATAGTTTGCATGATATATGCTTTAAATCCTTGCTCAAATATCAGAGGAAAAATTTCATGGACATAGTTTCAGAAACATAGTGGAAACAGGGCCTGATGAAGGCTGTTTCAAAGCTGGTGCAGGAATGGAACCCAAATGCACCCTGCATATAGTGGAGGACTGGCATCTAGCTCCCTAGGAAGGTCATGGTCGAGGGCCATGTTCCCCCTCATGTAGTGACTTACACAGCTCCCCTTGGGGTCACATAGTCTCAGTTTTCTTTTGAATGGGGTAGAGGATGTTAAAGAATCCTGTTTGAAAGAGGCTTATTCACTCTCAAATGTAAAATGAACACATGTAAAAGATTTTATTTAACTCATTAATTAGTGATGGATGTATTAAGATATTATATAACCAGTTCAAAGGAGAATTAAAGGCATCACTGATTTATAGTCATATAACAACTATAATAAATTAAAAACTGGCAAAATGGGGCCGGCCCGGTGGCGCATTGCTACAGTGCGCCGCTTGCGAGCGCGGCGGTGCTCCGGCCGAGGGTTCGGATCCCACATACAGACCGGTTCCCGCTCACTGGCTGAGCAAGGTGCGGGCGCAACACCGAGGGTTGCGATCCCGTTGCTGGACACGAAAAAAAGACAAAAAGGAAAAAAAAAAAAAACTGGCAAAATGGCCAATATCTCCAGGGTGATAATCAATTGTATCCTGCTGTACACTTTTCTACAGCTGAGAGTTGTTCATATTACCATCAGTTTTCTACAACTGACAGAATTGTAAAATATCTCAAAGACATGAAAGGCAGAAATAAAAAAATGGGTGAGCTAGTGAGGAATCTAGCATATTTAAAAATCTTTCTCACAATTTTTCCCTACAAGGCAGTGGAAGCTGCACAAGAATGAGAACTTTGCATATATCACCCATAGGTGTGGATTCTAGAACTGTGATAGTCTCCAGTGGTGAGAGCCTAAGCTTTGCACAGAAAAGACCTCTTTGGGGTCCTGAACCCAAGTGCAGGTAACCAGAAACTGTGTGGCAGGAAAGGTAACCCATGAGATATAAACCTCAAGCCTAAATAAAATAAAAATCTCATTTTCCCCAAATTAATCTATAAATTCAAGGCGATTGTAATAAAAATCGTGAAACTTGACAAATTGATTCTAAAACTTATAAAATCAAGACTAGCTAAGACAATTAGGAGAACAATATAGGGCCTTATACTAATAAATAGGAAAGCATTTTATGCGTTTAGGTAAAATAGTACAGAATTAAAATAGAAATAGAAAAATACTAATGGGGTTCTCAGCCAGAGGCTATTTTAACTCTCCCCCCCAAAAGACATTTGGTAACATCTGTTGACATTTTTGGTTATCACAACTGGGGAGTAGTGTTGCTACTGTCATCTGGTGAGTAGAAGCCAGGGACGCTTCTGAGCATCTTACAGCCTACTGGATAGCCTCCCACAGTAAAGAATTATCCAGCCCCAAATGTCAAAAGTGCTGCACTTGAGTAACTCTGGTATAAAATGTTCAGAAACAGACCCATGTATATGTGGGAAATTGGTATATGACAGAGGTGGCATTACAAATCAGTGAGGGAAAACTCACTATTCAAAAAACAAAGTTGAGGGCCGGCCCGTGGCTCACTCGGGAGAGTGCGGTGCTGATAACACCAAGGCCCCGGGTTTGGATCCCATATAGGGATGGCCGGTTCGCTCACTGGGTGAGCGTGGTACTGACCACACCAAGTCAAGGGTTAAGATCCCCTTACCGGTCATCTTTTTTTTAAAAAAAAAAAACAAAGTTGAGAAAATTGTCTTTGCATACAGAAAAAAGTTATTTCCAAAATTATATATATATAAAATTTCATATATTATATATAAAAATATACAATATATATTTGTGTGTATATAATATATATATTTATAAATATGCATATATATATATATATAAAAGATTTAACAAACAAGTAGAAATATGTTTAAAGTGTATGGGATATGAAGAAGTAGGTTGCAGAAGAGGAAATATAATTGGCCAATAAACATAAGAATGCAGTGTCTACCTTATTGCAATCCAGTACCAGCAGTAATAAGATAAAAAGTTTAGCCCATTAGAGTAACAAAACTTTAAAAACCAAATAAGGTCAATTGGTGGGGAATTGAGGGGAGGTTGGAACTCTCATGCAATTGTAAATTAGCATTAAGAATATGTTTTAGCATTGTTTGTATTGGTGAAATATTGAAAGCAATCTTATTGCCCAACATAACTGAGAAACAAATAAAATGCAGATAAACAAGGTAGAATTAAATATTGTACAGCATATAAAATTATCTATCTATACTCCATTGCTATGGTTTGAATGTGTCCTTCAAAAGGTGTGTGTTGGAAAACTTAATCCCTGATGAAACAGTGTTGGGAGGTAGGGCCTAATGAGAGGCGATTAGGCCACGAGGGCTCTGCCCTCATGAATGAATTAATGCTGTTATTGTGGGAGTGGGTTCCTTATAAAAAGGACAAGTTCAGTTCCCTTTTCTCTCTCTCTCCCTGCCCAGCCCCTTCTTGCCTTCTGCCATGGAAGGACACAGCAAGAAAGCCCTCATCAGATGCCGGCCCTTTGATCTTGGACTTCCCAGCTTCCAGAATGATAAACCACTAGATTTCTGTTCATTATAAATTACCCATTCTCAGGTATTTTGTTATAACAACACAAAATGTACTAAGACATCCATATGCAGGGTCTTAAAAACATTCTGTGAATAAAAGCTACTTACAGAACAATGCATGTGTTATTTCTATGCAAATTAAAAAGTGTATACATAAGGTTGTATATTTTCATGTATATTAATTCACTCACATATATGACTCATATATGTATATGAATTAAAAAATGGACTTCTGGTAAAATGACCACCAAACTCAGTATACTGTTTGCCTTCAGGGAGGAAGAAAGTTGTCCAGGGACCTCACCTTTGTCCGTATTGTTATATTTCTTTATATTTTCAAAAAGAATTTTGAAGGAAATATAATAGAATGTTAACAGTAAATTTTAAATGGAAGGGACATCTGTGTTTGTTATATCATTCCTTGAACATTTCTCTATATTTTTGCATTTCTCGGTAAATAAATGGATAAATAAAAAGAAGAAAAATCGGAGTTGAGAGGAAGCATCATATAGTGGGAAAGAGCCAGGCTCTTGAGCCAGAACCTCTGGGTTCAAATCTCAGTACAAACACTCAGTGGTTATGCAAGAGTGGTTATGAGAGATGAGACTAATATAATATAATGCTAAGAGTACCTACCTCCGAAGACTTTTGTGAGAATTAAGACTTAATAGATTTAGAGCACTTAAAACAGTGGCTAGCCTCTAAGTGGAATTTGCTATTATTAGTGGGAAAATACAAACAGTTACTTTCTTCCCTGATCTTCAAGGATCCTTGTTCATATTCTTTTAAAAATAACTTAACTGCATTGCAATTATTTCTTTATATGCCTTTTTTTCCCTACTTAGCTGCGAGATTCGTGAGAGAAGGAATGATAACTTTTTAGAGCCTGGTTTATGATGGGTGATGTCATATAAAGGCTGGATTTAATTTAAGTTTGCTTATGTTTTATTGTTTTAATAAAAGTCTTGATCTAAATGGGTTGGAAATGCATAGACATATCAGCTTTCATTGTGGGGTGCAGAGCACAGCTTCACCACCCTGAACCCATGAGAAAGGTCAAACCTGTGCTTTCAAGTCTGTGGCAGTCACTGAGAACTGAGGAATTAAACACCCTTAAAACCAGGCTTCAACAAACAGGACCCATGACAGCTTCAAACAGGCAGGTATCGGGAAGAGGCACTGAGATGACACGCCATGCAGAGTTCTGAGGGTTTGGGACTGATGAGAAATAGAACAAAATGGGAGGGAGCATGGACATCCTTTGTCACCAATCAGGAAACTGCTCAAGGAAAGAGAAAGAAATTTGCTCTTTTCTTAAACACTCTCTCCCTTCTCCTGCCTGTCACCATGCTGTCAAAAATGACCCTTCTGTACTCACCTGATCCCACAGGGTTTCAGTTATTGATACCTGTCTTTCCTGTTGAAACAAGAAACAAATCTTGAGAACATTACCCTAACTGTCCCTGAATCTGAAATGACACATCATAGAACTGGTGGAATAAAAGATATTTCTTGGAATTGAGATGGACACCTGTAGTTACCCATTTTTCAGGCAGCCCAAAGACTCCTTCAACCATGCTGAGTCATCTTTAGCCCATTTCTCCTGCTCATATCTTGATCTAGCTGGTGGGTGACAGGTACAAGCAGACCTTATGTTTACCTGCCCATCTTATCAATGCCCATGTAGCTTGCCTGCCCCTGGAGTCATCTGGTGTAGTAGTGGAACTGGAGGTGTTATCTGATCTTGGTAGACCATGACCCACCAGTCAGTCAAGAACACCCCAGCTACAAAGCCCAAGCCCTGCAAGATATGATCCTTGTCAGGAGGCTTTTCTGCCTCCTGTCCACAGCCTCTTCTCCTCCCCTCTCCCCAGGATCAAGAACTCCAAAAGGAACCAGTGCATATGGATGTCTTACCCACCTGTGGTCTCATTGTCTCTTCTATGGATGTGCTGGAAAGAAAGGATGATAGAAACCTGATGAGAAGCAGGGAATGTAATCCAAAAGCTTCTCCCAACTCCATCCTAAAACTCCTAGCAAGAATTCTTGAACTTCCTATACTAAAAATTCAGGAAGGATAGACAGGGTCCCATCTCTCATGTCCCCTCTTAGATTTGTGGCCTCATCTTCCAACTATCTTGGCTACTGTGGTAACACTTTGAAAATTCTGAAGCATAGAGCAATGGAAATGACGCCCTTCACCCCACCTAACCTGTTGAACGGCCCAGGTCCCTCTCGAGAAGGTACATCCAACTATCAAACTGCTTCCTTTTTTGTACTCCCAAAATGTGTTCTCTTTTTCCTTCATGACCTGTGATGCGGTGGAGATGGGGATGGAAGGCCGAGGAGGAACTTGAAAGATTTTGCTCATTCTTGGCAGCTCAACTGAAACTCCTTTTCCTAAATACTAATGGAATCACTGCCAAAGTCATCTGGAAGAAGGAGTAGCTGTATCCAGGGTTAGATAGGTAATTGGCAGGAAGGAGAGGAGTAGAAACAGGTGAAATCTGGGCGACCACTCTGATCATCCATGCTAGTGGGTCCTGAGTAAACTGCCTGGATCTCCTGGCCGTGTGTAGACTTGCATAGGGGTGACAAGAGAGATGGGAGACAGGTGACCCTAGTTCTTCTTCCACAGGATATAGCCAATCTAAGGATGCTAAAGGGTCATTAGCCCCATTTACCTTTTCTGCTGCCTGGAGGTCATTCCTGCCTTTTGTTCTTGGTACTGGTAGGCATTCTCTGCCATTTGTTCTCAGACAGAAACCAGGACTCTGGAGCTGAAGGTGGAGATAGCTCCAGGCCCTGGGGAGACATAACAGGGGAAACGGCAGGTGTGTAGTGAGAAGAAAAGCACTTACCCACCGGAGAACTATAAGGACAGATGTCTCAGTAGTTCAGGAAGCGTCAGTGTTTTGAAAGGGTCAGCGTGTATGTGTGTGTGTGTGTGTGCATGTACATATGTGTTAAGAGAGATAAAGGTGAGAAGAAGGAAGTGTTTACACCAGGTAAAATCTCCCTGTCCTGTTTTTCAGTAACAACAAAAATACCAGAAAGAAGATGGGTGGAACAAACAAACAAACAAACAAACAAACAAACAAACAAACAAACAAAGACAATGTAGGTAAAAAAACAGCTGGATAACATTGGAGGTAGGGAGCTGGCCAGAGGCTCCTTGAGTTAAGGATGGGCCCAAAGGCAAGAATAGGAAATAGTGAATAGTGAATTCAAGATTGGCAAATACCCATCCCATCCTACCTCACAAGATAGAACTACAAGACAATGTAGGTAAAAAAACAGCTGGATAACATTGGAGGTAGGGAGCTGGCCAGAGGTTCCTTGAGTTAAGGATGGGCCCAAAGGCAAGAATAGGAAATAGCGAATAGTGAATTCAAGATTGGCAAATACCCATCCCATCCTACCTCACAAGATAGAACTACAAGTTGAAGGTCAGTCAGCTTCAGCCTTCAAGTGCTTTGTAGAGGACAAGGAAAAACCCCATAGTTGATACTGTCCACTGCACATGGGACTGAAAGGCCAATGCAGTGACCCAGACAAAAGACAAATTCTTCTTCGAGAAGATTCCCTCCCACATTTCCCACTTCCACCCTTCCCCACCTCCAAACCCCAGTGAGGAACCAGGTTAAATATGCCCAGAAACTTACCTGGCTGGGCTTCCCAAGTCACACTTTGGCCCACCCTTTCCCCCCTAGACTTTCTCCTCTCTGAGCCCCATCTTACAACAGTCCCCTGTTCCCAGTATCAGCCCAGCCCTCTTCAACACTCTGTGACCTCAGCTGTGACCTCATAGACTTGGGACAACTGTCTCTCCCCTCCCAGCCTCACCACAGGCTCCCGTCAATCCAAATGATAATAGTAAAATAAGAGTTAATATTGTGAAATTTTAAATTTAATTTCTGGGGATTTTTGCTGCTTCATTGCCCTCTACCCATTGTGTTAGACATCCTTTGCTTCTGAGAGATGGCAGGAGTGAGCTCAGAAGAATCCATCTTTTACTTTGAATTTCAGAGTAAGGTCTGAAATATTTGGCTTTCAATTTCAAGAGCTAAGTCCTTGAGAGAGAAATGCTTTTGTTTTGAATTCCAAAAGACTTCGACTTGGAAGATCACCAGAGACTGATAAGTGATCATGGATTTAAAACCTTAGGGGGGAAAAATAGTTTTCCTGAAAAAAAAAAAAAGGAGGCAGAAAGTGATTATTACAGGAGAGGTAAGTTAGGTGTAGATGAGCACCTCTGAGAGGGACCTGCCTCTTTCTGGTAACGATACATATCGAATTCCCCAATATGTCTAAAAATCTAAGGACAGAAGGGACCAAGGCCCTGCTCCCCACTGCAGCTAGACCCCTAGGAGTAACAGCCTCAGAGGGGATGCTATGCTGACATGGGGAGGTTGTGGTAAAGTAGAAATTGTGGTGTGGTGTGTTCAGGCAGACGGAACTTGAGATAGTATCTCCCAGTTCCTATAGCCTATCCAGGTGATGGGGAGAAAGATCCAAAGGATCCCCCATACAGAAGTGCAGGGTGGAAAAGGAGAGGCTGAAATCCAAAGTGGACTCAATGCATCCAAGCTGTGGCAAAATGCCAGGTGGGTACCATGGATAAAGGTGAGAACATCTGCTCACCCTCCACCTGCCTTCAGCAGGATTTAGAGAAATTCCATCCCTGGTTTTGAATTTAAAGTTCCAATGATCATGGATTTAAAATCTCAGAGGGAATAAAATAGTTTTCTTGAAGAAAAAGTGAGACCACCATGTGCACTCCCTCTGAATGCCACCTTCTTACTATTATGAACTGCTTAAAAGATCAGCCACAAGAAGCAGCTCCGATGAGAGGACCGTCCCTGTTCCCCTTAGAGACTATCAGGCCATTCCCCTCATGATCTACCTCTTTATTTACCTCAGTTTTCACAAGGAGTCCAAGCCCCTCTTTCAGCATCTCTCATCACTGGTACTTTTATCCTTTTATGGCCAGAAACATCTCATTTTCCAACTCAAATTCCTACCTCTCTCTAACCACCCCAAATCTTTCACTATCCACAATTGAATTCCAAATTTCACCCATCCCCAAGACCTGTTCTCCTCGTCACATTCAATTGTGCCACTATTCACACATTTGCTCAGGTCAAAAACCTGGGAATCACCAAGTCCTCTCTTTTGTCTCACCCTAGAAAGTCTGATTGGCTGTATGTTCAAAGTGTGTACTGAATCTGATCGCTTCTCATTACCTGCAGGCCAAGCCACATCATTTATCTCCTGGACTGCTGCCAAAGCCTCTTTATCAGTCCATTCTTATCTCCTGCAGCAGCCAGAATGATTGTTCTAAAACGCAGACAGATCACACCACTTCCTCCCTCAGAACGCTGTGTTCCTTTTGCATCATGCTTAGGACCATCCTTCCATATCCAACCTGCCCCTCAGACACCATTTCCTACCCACTCCATCCTGTGCGTTCTGCTGTAGTCGCACTGTCTTCCTGCCAAGTGTGCACTTCTGTCTCAGGGATTGCATACCTACTGTCCCTTCCTCCCGGAACACTCTTCTCCCAAACATTTGTTTGGCTTCCTCACTCACTTTAGGTCTCTGCTCAAAAGATGTGTCCTCAAAGAAGTCTTCTTATATCCGCTATCTAAAGCAGCAGCTGCCACCACTTACTATCCCTTTACTCTGACTTACATTTCTTTTAATCACCACTGGACATTCTAATATAAATACCTATTAGTTTTGTTTGTCTGTTTCATCTCACAGAACGTAAGCTCCATGAGGGCTTTGTCTTAATCACTATTGATTGTTCTACAGTGCCAAGAACTACAGCTGGAACATAGAGGAACTCAAACGTATGTAGAATAAATGAGCCAATCAACAGCACGTACTGACACTTCCCATGGGTGGGAAACCATGGCATTATCATCCCAGGCCAGCGATAAGGATATAGCAATGCCACTTCATCTTAATTGTAGCTGTATGATGTCTTGAAGTCAGGCAGTGTGAGTCCTTCAGCTTTGTTCTTCTGTTTCAGATCGTGTTGGCTATTCTAGATGATTTACATTCTTGTGTGAATTTTAGAATCTGCTTGTCAATTTCTATGGAAAAGCCCGCTGGGATTTTGATTAGAATTGTGTTTAATCTATACATCAAACTGAGAGGTATTGATATCTTAACATTTTAATATTGAGCTTTTCTATGCTTTAACATGGTATACTCCTCTATTTATTTAGATCTTTAAAAATTTCTCTAAGCAATATTTCATAGTTCTCAATATACACATCTTATACATCTTTTGTAAGGTTTTTACCTAAGCATTTAATACATCTTGATGCTATTGTAAATGATATTTTTCCCTTTTAAGTTTTGATTGTTCCTAGTATTTGGAAATCTAGTTTGTATGTTGATTTTCTATTCTGTAGCCTTGCTAAACTCTTATATTAACTCATATATTAGTTCTAGCAGGAGGTTTTTTTTTTTATCTTGATGCTATTGTAAATGATATTTTTCCCTTTTAAGTTTTGATTGTTCCTAGTATTTGGAAATCTACTTTGTATGTTGATTTTCTATTATGTAGCCTTGCTAAACTCTTATATTAACTCATATATTAGTTCTAGCAGGAGGTTTTTTTTTTTTTTTTTAAATATTCTACATGGATGATCATGTTGCCTGTGAATAAGCACAGTTTTACTTTTTCCTTTCCAGTTTGGATGCCTCTCATCTCTTTTACTGACCTAATTGCACTGTCTAGAACCTATAGTACAATGTTGAATAGAAGTGAGAGCAGATTTCTTTCCTTGGTTCAGATCCTAAGGGGATTGCTTTCAGTCTTTTACTATTAAGTATAATGTTAGCCATAGGTTTTTTTGTTAGATCCCCTTCATCAATTTGAATGAACTCCCTTATATTCCTAGTTTGCTGGTATTTTCTTATTGGGAATGTGAGTCTAATCTTGCATTCGTACAATAAACTCTACGTAGTTATAATGTATTATCCTCTTTATATATTATTGAATTTGCCTGATAAAATTTTATTAAAAATTTTGCACCTATGTTCATGAGTGATATTTCTCTAGTTTTCTTTTTTATGATGTCATAGTTTGATTTTTTGTGTCATAAAAATTCTGGCATCACAAAATTAATTGGGAAGAATTCCTTCCTCTTAATATTCTGGAATAAGTTGTTTATTGTTTATTATTTAAATGTAGAATTTACCCGTGAAGTCATCTGGGATGGAATTTTTCTTTATGAAAAGAGTTTTAACTACAAATTAAGTTTTTTTAATTGAGTTATTTAACAGGACTATTCATGTTATCCATTTCTTTTTGAGTGAGATTTAGTAGTTTGTATCTTTGGAGAAATGTGTCCATTTCTTGTCCATTTTCAAATTTGCTAAAATAAAGCTTTTCTAAAAATTCTATTAGTCTTTTCATATCTATATAATTTGTGGTAAAGTTACCTTTCTCATTCTTGACACTGGAAGTGTTTTGTGATCTCTCTCTCTCTCTTTCTCTCTGTCCTGGTCAGTCTGTTTAGAGGTTTATCAGCTTTATTCATCTTCTCAAAGAACAAGCTTTTGGTTCATTGATTTCCCTTTGTTTGTTTTCTATTTCAATGACATCCACTAAAATCTTTATTTCCTTTCTTCTATTTACTTGGATTTTATTTGATCTTTTTTCTAGCTTCTTAAGGGGAAGCTGAGGTAATTGATTTTAGACCTTTCTTTTCTTATGCAGACATTTAATGCTGTAAATTTCCCTCTAATTACTGACAGCTTTATTACACAAATTTTGAAATGTTGTG